CATCGCTGGATATATTGATTGCGTCCAACCTGACGGTCCTGGACCAGCCCAGGCCCAGCCTCTCCTCTAACTATTGATATTGATATTGATCGCCTCTCTAACTATTTGAGAATATATTCAAAAGTTCAAAAGATTCGGTATCTAGGGTGTTGCGAGGTGTCTTGACGCACGCGCGTGCGTGGCACCGCGGTGTCACATCGAGGTGTCCTTCTATGTCGGGCTGGATGCGCTGGCTTCAATGTCGGCTCCGCAGAGCAGACTTAGCAACGTCGAAAGGAACCAAACTTGCTCGTGCGTCCGCTCGCCTCCCGCGACAGCAGCCCAGCACCCGCCAGGCCCAGGCATGGACAGCCGCCGCTCGTCCGTCTGCTCCACGTCGCCGCTGGTCGACGGAGAGTCCCCTCGCAACAGCGTGGTCGAGTCCAATGCCGGAGCGATTGCTCGCGCGAGGGCGGCCGCCGGTAAGAGCTCGCCCTCCGTCTCTAGCGCTGGCAAGCCGGCAGCTTCCTCCTCCAGCACGTCGGCGACGCCGCCGCCCGTGGTTTCCGGGACTCCCATCGACTCGAGCGACCACGTCGACGTCGAGACCGGAACCACGCGCCCGGCGGCCCCGGCGCCATCGGCCCCCCTCCCCGAGAGCCAGCCCCGCTACTACCGCGCCGCTTACCTCGCGCTCTGTGCGATGGCGGTGGCGATGGTCCTAGCAGTCGGCGGTACGGCCATAGCGTTGATGCTCAGGAAGCCGCCTCCACCGCCTCCACCGCCCACCCCGCCCTCGCCACCGCCACCGCCGCCCTCGCCCTTGCCGCCGCCCCCGCCGCCTTCACCCTCGCCACCGCCGTGGTGGCACCAGCCGCCGCCGCCACCATCGCCCTCGCCACCGCCGCCGCCGCCGTCTCCCTCGCCGCCGCCATCACCGCCACCGCCGTCGCCTTCGCCGCCGCCGCCGCCGCCATTGCCGCCGCCACCACCACCGCCTCCTCCACCACCACCGTCGCCGTCCCCGCCTCCGTCTCCCTCACCGCCGCCACCGCCGCCACCCTCCCCACCGCCGCCGCCGCCCTCGCCCTCGCCGCCGCCTCCGCCGCCACCATCGCCGCCACCGCCACCGCCACCGCCGCCCCCGCCCTTTCCACCGCCTGCGCCTCTGTGGCGGCCAGTCTTTTCGACGAGAGGGGAACTCAAAGCTGCGATTGATCTTTGCCTCACCGTCTCCGCCACCGGAGCATGCCGTTGGCTCTTTGGCGGTGTGCCGATTGGACAGTGGGACGTGTCGGCCGTCTCGGACATGTCGATGCTGTTCCAGGGTGCCACGTCGTTTGATCAGGATCTGAGTGCATGGAACACGTCCGCAGTCACGGATATGCGGAGCATGTTTTACAACGCGCAGGCGTTCAATCACGACTTGTCGACCTGGAACGTGTCTGCGGTCACTAACATACAGGAGATGTTTTACAGCGCCCGCTCCTTCAACCAGGACCTTTCCGCTTGGGACGTGTCGGCAATCAACAATCAGTACTACTACAACAACATTGCTGGCTCGAGCAACTTGCATGGCATATTCGAAGACGCCTCCTCCTTCTCCCAGAAGCTCTGCTCGGAAGTCTGGATCACCACTAGGGATAGGCTGGACTCTCAGTGCCTGTCCCACTGCCAGCGAAGTTGCTACCGGTATTGCCAATGCCAGCAAAACTGTGATACTGCCCGTGCCAGGCTTTTCAACGGCACCTCCAGTGGGAGCATCTGCCCGACGTCGCCGCCGCCATTTCCGCCGCCCTCGCCGCCCTCGTCGCCCCCTCTGCCGCCTCCGCCACCCCCGTCGCCGCCGCCTGCCCATCCGCCTCGAGCGCCGCCGATGTGCAGTGGAGAACGATATTGTTCGTCTTGGGGGAGCCGCTGCACTTCTTACCACTCCTGGCTGGGGTGCCAAAGCTACGGAAGCTACTGCAATGCATATGCGTACCGGCAAATCCTTTGTTCACCGCCGCCACCCTCGCCCTCGCCACCGCCGTGGTGGCACCTACCGCCGTCATCGCCTCCGTCGCCGCCATCGCCGCCATCACCGCCATCGCCACCACCATCGCCACTGGAGCCGCCACCGCCACCGCCATCTGCGCCGCCGGCTGCGCCGCCGCCATCGCCACCGCCACCCTCTGCGCCACCGCAAGCCTTCAGCATTGTTTCGGGGTCTTCCTACTGCCACCTCAGCACACACTCAGACGGCTCGAGCTGCGTCACGGATGGTCTCGGCTTCCACGAGAATGGTGAGAACTGCACAATTCGCACGCTTCTTACTGGCCTCCTCTCCGCCATCGAGTTTCAGACCGAGCCCGGCTATGATTACATTACCATTGGCGGTACGCGGTACGAGGGACTGAGCGGCCCGAACAACCTACCTGTCGCTGAAGGGACCGAATTCACCTGGCAGTCTGACGATTCTGTCACCAAGTCGGGCTGGACCCTCTGCTTTAACCTTGCGCCGCCGCCACCACCACCGTCGCCTCCAAATCTCTTCTTTTTGGGCGAGTCTGCAACCATGTCCTCGTTGACATCGGCCGGCTGCTACCCATCCGAGCCCCCAGCGAACCTTTGCTACTCGAAGTCCCTCCATGGTGCGTCTTCGTACACCTTCCACTCCCGGTGCGACAACAAGGGCGCGACGCTGACGCTGTTAGAGCTAAGCAATGGCTACAAGCTCGCACTCTATACAACCATCCCGTGGACCTCACGGAGTGGCTACGCAGGGCACGGCACCTCGTACATCGCCTCGCTCACTCGCAACTCGTGCCACCAGAACTGGTACTCGCATTATCAGATCTACGACCGCAACAGCTACGGGCCGGCCTTTGGTGCTGGCGATATCCGCATCAACTCTAACATGAATGGGGGATACTGCAGTGGACACAGCTACTCCGGGACCGGCAGCAGCATCTGTGGATCCTATAGCTCGTGGTCGATCACTGCGCTCGAGGTGTACTCCACCGAGGCTTAGACTCTCTCCCTCTCTCTCTCTCTCTCTCTCTCTCTCTCTCTCTCTCTCTCTCTCTCTCTCTCTCTCTCTCTCTCTCTCTCTCTCTCTCTCTCTCTCTCTCTCTCCCCCCCCCCCTC